AAACATATGTGTCGCAGTACCTTAAAAAACACGATGCGCTGAAAAAAAAACTTTAGAAAAAAGAACACTCGAATGCTGAAGCTTACTTCGGCTGACAGGAAATATGATATTTTATTTTGGGCGTGGGATCAAACCGAGTCGATAATTTGTGTTCGAATAGACATCACAGAAGGACGGTGAAATTAAATTGTTGAAGATGTTTTATGTTATTAATAAGGAAGGGAAATTTCTTTACTGTGTGAAATATCTTTGAACTCAAAAGAAGGTGAGCGACACAAAGTATTCTAAGACAACCAAAGAGGACAATAAAGTGAATAAAAGAGTTATAACTTTTTCAGGATGTCTTTTCAATAATTTATAACAACAAATTAAACTGTAGACAGACATGATGCTTAGGAACCAGAATATATTATTAAATAAAATTGAAGTAGACCAGTATCTCCTTTTTTATGGCAAACTAGCTTTTACCCGCGACTTCCAAAAACGCTAAAATAAATATTTATTCACTTTATCATGTAATACCTGAATATTAAGTAAGTCTCAACACTTTAATCACAATAAAAAGTAACCACATAGGCTCTTTCAAGTCAACTCAGTTTAGTAGTTTAGGTGTGAGAACATAACATATACATAGACTTAATTTCGCATGTTATTACTATGGAATAATTAAATCATTCACCTTGTCGTTCATTACATCTTAAAATAAGAGATTATAAGATGTTTGCCAATTTTAAATATAAATAACAATTGACATTGATCACAATTCACGACTTTTATACTCACATATTTTTTTCGAGTTTAATTTAAAAGATTTTGTGTGTACTAATGAAAAAACATTGAGATTAATTTATATGTATATGTCATAGGCAACTCGATAAAACATCAGTTCTATTGGGTGGCTAGCCCTTCTTTTTTGTTCCGAAGAAACCTTAACATTTCGACTAAACCAGGACTCTCCAACTGCAAGAGACGGCGGTCCAGTGTAATTGGCCTACCCGACAAAACCCTCCGTATTAGCTTCTTGCATGGTCTTGGTGGCTAGCCCTATAAAAGAATAGCGCCATTCATTTGCACGGATAAACGTCGATCAGCTTAGTAACCATCACGCTGCCCTTGTACAGCGCAACTATTGAAACCTCAGGGAACTTCTTAACACGTAAGTCACTACAACAAAAAACGCTATGTATTTATTTATTTAAGGTACAGTGCCTGCTCTATATGTATTTAACCGACTAATTATGTTACAGTACCTTATTTCTGAAAACTTTAAGGCTATTTATCTGATTTGAAATACAGATGAAAAGAAAAACACAAATCTAATGTACACACAAAATTTCATCGAAGATTGAAATCTGCGCAATTTTTTTTAAACAAAATAATGACGCAGTTTATCTAAGAATAAACGCCATCTTGTATCATCATCATCGGCCCTTTTATCTCCCCACTGTAAGGGCTCACGCTTTTCTTGTGGATTGGTTAAGGAGAATCGGCCATGACCCTCCACGATGGCCCAATGCGGATTGGAGGGCAAAAGAGACGAGCCCTGCGACTCTCTAAAAATCCGAACCCGAATTCGAATTTACTCAGGTGTCCGAATTTACTATAAAATCGGCATCCGTTCAACCTTGAATTTCGATAACGATTTATTACAATGTCAAATCAAATTATAAACAATAGTTGAAACTCAACCGGTGTAGTTTAAAATTTCCGTTTAATAGAATTGAGATGCTGGTATAATCTAGAAGTTTTCTCTTGGTTCCTTAAATCTATTGATAAGGCTTATACTTTTATAAATTGTTTTTTTACAAATTTGCAACCACACACTACAATCGACCTCGTTACCTAAATATTTCTTTAATTGTCAAAATTCAAATAGATTTTACATATTTTTTAATAAAGGCGTTTGAATTTCTCGTCACTTTACCATCAAACTGGAGCTACCGTTGTCAATAGACAAAGAGCTGGCGTGTAATACCATACAAATGTCAGCTTCTAGTCAGTGGAGGTAATAAGAGGAATCAATATCAATCAGTAGCAATCAGCACCCGGAAGCCATGTCGGACCGACCGACTGACGCCACCAAATGAATGTGATTGTTAATTTGTATTAACGATATGTTGAGATTATATTTTAATGCTCGAAAAGTCCTATTCTAAAATGGCCAAGAATGTGTGGGACTCACTCATAAATACTATAAAAACAGGTTTGTCATCGATGTCTATTTATATTTTATAACTATTTCTTAATAGGTATTTCTATAACCTATATTAAAAAAAAGAAGATTTCAATTCAAAATTTTCAATTCCAGTAATTTTTGGTCATCCAACTATGTAGCTCCACATACACCCCAAGAATTTAAAGTTAGGCACGTCTCAAACCGTACTTAGACCATTTCAAACGTCACTTAAACAGAATTTCGTTTCTGATTTTAATGATCTGTTGATAGCAATTTGATAAAACTAGGACCTTTTTGCCATGTTAAACGTAAAAAACTCAAGTTTTTGAAAATAATCAGTTGAGATTTCATACTTTTCTCAATTCACAAACCGGCTTTAGTCATCTAAAAGAGACCTCCATGCTTGTAATTCATTTATTTACGATGCAAGACCATCTTTGGATTACCGTACCGACTTATATTAAGACAACATATAAGCACTCAACTCAATTGGTCCAGTAGTTTCGTAGGAAATCAGATGACAGACAGAGAGACAACCGAGCGATCCTATAAGTATTCCATTTTTCTATTTGTACCGCAAAACCCTAAAAAACTATAATATTTTTATATATTTCGTTGAATTGGGCTGATCGAAATCTGCCCGGGCATACAAAATATGCCGCAATTTCTTTATTGGCAAAAAAATCATGACGGCCCGGTTAAAAGTTAGGTAGATCGACAAGAGCAACGTATTTGGCGATTTGTTCAACTAATCATTTGGGCACACCGTGATATAGCTGGGCGCATCGTAGTATAGTTTCGTTTCGCGTCATTGGTAAGCGCTGTAGCGCTATCCACTGTATATTTACGTATGAGAAACATGGTGACGTCACAAGCAAATGAAAACTGTGATTTTAAAAATAATAACAGTGAGTAACCTGTTGCCAAAAGTACTTTGCGAGTGAATTATGAGCGTCACCTAAGGAGTTTTTATTTTGGAAAGCTGAACACTTTTTGAGTAAACATAATAAAAAAGAATTATAACAGCCTTTTTTATCTATCATTCAAATATTTTATATGCTTACATACAGAGATAACATATATAATTATTTGCTTACATACAGAGATGGCCGATAGGAGAAAAACCTGGGTTGTTGCCCATCTCTGCTTACATAGTACTTTGATCACCCTACCAAGCTAATTTGCCACAGTATAGTCGGGCAAATCGTCGAACGTTAAGCATCGAACGATATGGCGGATAGGTAGCCAAATCAAGAAATGGCGACATAACGTGGTATGCACGGGCAGATCTCGATCGGTCTAATTTAACAATTGGCCCATGACATATATAAAACGTCATTAACACATTCCTTTATTCATCCAAAGTCAAAAATTTTATGTCACATAAAAGTACCTCATAGTAAAATAAAATTTATTACAGAATAAATATAGGTGAAGAAAAACATCCACTTCTATAGACTCCATATTAAACGACTGTAAAATTAAATTAAGAGCTACTTAAATCGAAAACAAACGATATTTCTCCCGTTCTGGACAGGTTTCACAACAGTTACCTACTCAGTGCTATAATAAAAATAAAAATGCGGACGTTATCCCAACTTTTATATTCGACGCCATGAAGATGTGACCGCGTGGTATGAGATGAGAACTAGTGAGGTTATTTATTTATAAATAATTGCACTGTTTACTATTTACGAGGAGATCTTTTATTAATATATTTTTTAAGTCAGTAACTTTTGACACAGAGCTGATTAAGAAATGAGAGTTTTAATCACTTATATTATTGCGTTATGTCACAAAAATCTCAAAAGTTTCTTATGCTGACAGGCATGGTGGCGGTGTCATTGAGCCTATAAAGTCGTCGAAAATGTAAACATACGTAAATACAGCGACGCACGCTCTCGTAAAATCTATTTCTCGCGTCATTGCAGCCCTGGCTATAAACGATATATCAAAAAAAAACTTGCATCCAATGGGAAGTAGGTACTTAAGACTACTAGGTAGTCACCACCAAGTTAAATGCAATTATAGCTTAACTATCTGTTTGTATTAACTTTAATTAGAATGTAAATAACTGGAATCGCTCAAGATCATTAAGTGTACCTACTAGATAAAGTTAATATTATAATTATAAAAAATTGCACTTATTCGTCCTTTTCGTTTTCTTACGAATTATTAAGCTATTAAATCTTTTGTGTTTGATCAATTTTCGAACAGCTGAGTTGAAGGAACTTCACCGTTCATTATTCTGAAAAATTGACTATAAATTTGGAACGCCATATTTAAATGACAAGAATAATATAGTCTTATATCTATTAATACACACGTTGAAACCATATGTCATCCTGGTCTTGCATCACTGTTTTCACCCACAAGTGGAGGACAAAGAGAGTGACTCACCGACTAAATTGTTAGGCCTGATATTACACATACGCGCTTGTTAAGTGATTCGTCTTCATTGCTATTCCGAGCGACTACCCAGGGTTTCAGAAATCATACCGATGACATCACAAAAAAAAATCTTGAATTCTCTGTTATGCAAATAGCTATTGTGAACTTTTCCAGTGTCAGTATCAAAGTCAAGGCAAAATATTCGTTGATCATTTTTTTGCGGGATTTAGTATTTTCAGTCTCAGTTCAAAGACTATTTAAAAGAAACTTCACCAGTTGAGATCAAAGCATAATTACTTTATTATTCAAGTACCCACATATACTGTAATATTTACCTTTGTCAATATAATAATCAAATACACAATACTATTAATATTAATTTCTTTAAATATTTTGTATAATATCTTCTACTGCAATAATTTCATTGGCTTTACTATCCTCCTTCTCCTGTATACGACACAAAATTAGAATATGTTACCATTACTGGTACAGCAAAAAAGCCAGTAACATGATCCCGTTTGTGAGCAGCAGCTAGTTGTAGTTTTGCAAAAGCATAAGGCACTGGTGCTTCTTCCTTAGGAGTGGCACGAATAAATAGCTCTCCTTTGAGACCTGGAGCAAGATTGAATCTTGTCTGGGGACAGCAATTCCATGTTGCCCCAAGATACGCCGTCTCGTCACATAGACCGCAACAATGTATGTATATTGTACGGTAGGAAGTGTTCCAAACCCTGAAAAGACAGTTCAAAGTTAACAAAGTTGATTTCAGTGGCGTCCCTATTTTCTGGTGATAAAAAGCATGTTCTGATCATTGATAGTGTCTTGAATCGTTTATCTCAAAGTGTTTTTATACTTATAAAGATTTAGTCAAGATATAAATGTATGGAATTGGCTCCCAATATACTTAATATAATACGTACATGTATAAACTTATTAAGTACCTACTGCCTAATATATTAGTTCATAGACAAATTAATATACAAACTCACCATAATTTCTGCTCAATCACATTGTCTTTAATTTCAAAATGCAGGTGGTCTGGTGACCAAGTTATGGTGAGAGGATACAGGGGTAATGCTTTCACTAATTGTATACATGGGTTACTGATACTGTCTTTCGCCTTCTTTTTTTTGGCTTGTTTTTCCAATTCGTTAATATCAACCTGGTTTAAGATAACACCGAATACTATTACATGACATCTTGCTTGCTTCAAACTCATGCTAAATTTGTAGATACTTACAAAATTGAAAGCAAATAATTTATAAGCAATTACAATTATCAATAGTAATACTAGAAGAAACTTATCAATAATAATAATAATAATCATGCTGTCCGATTTAATATAAAAATCAACACCAATACAAAGCTAAGGAACGGGAAGGGATATTAAAGGGTATCCGTACCTCTTCTGCGACAATCTTTTCTCGAAGATTTGGACAAATAAATGGTGGAAGCACTTCTAGAATTGGACTTCCGATTTCAACTTTAGAACTCATGGCGGTTCCTCATGTTAATATTATTAATATATTATCGAATTATGCAAACTTAATTTGTATATTAGAACTATCAGTTGGTCTTTGTAAAGACTTAAAATAAACATGTTACAATGATTATTTTTATATTTACATAATTGTTATTGCAAAGACGTTATCAAGCATAGACCACACATAAACCTAAATCATGTATCAAGATGACAAGTAAATAACATACCATAACTAAATAGGCATAGGTACATACAAAGAGAGTATGTTGTTCATACAAACGACAACAGATAGGGAACAGTGTTACAATAATAGAGTATATGACTTATTCAGAAAAATAGTTTAAAATTATTATTTATTGAATAATAAGCATTTTTCGGGGAAATTTACTGTATTTATCAATAAAAATTAGATTTAAAATTGTGAAACGGCGCGAATCTGTCATACGCTGCCATTACGCCGCATATGACATTACACGCTAGCAAATAAACAAACCTCATCATACTAATAAAATAGTCAACAGGAAGCCATATTTACTGGCGTGTGACGTCATTGAAGTTGCAATCAATTACAAGGCGTTTGCTTCTCAGATAAAATATCAAAAAATATTTTATTTTATTTTGTGCATAAATTATACATTATTTCGTTTTAAAAAAGTGAAATATGTGTTATTACACTATTATCTTATAGGATGACCAGAATTTATAATATATTTTTAATGTTGTCAAATACACTATTGTAAGTACAGATTTTTTGCACTCATCACAGGAAAGAAATTCACATTTGACATTGTCAATTATGGACGCTAACCCATATTCTAGCCAAAGCTAATGAATGTAATTAAATTTTTTCCATTAATTATAGCTCTTTACCTATGAAATTGCCGTTCAGCCGTACTGGTCATTTCAAATTAAAATATTATTTTTGGTTGATAATTCTAATTTCAAATAAATTTTATTTTAAAAAGATGGATTTATCTAAAATCGTCATTTGTTTAATAGTTAGTGTTTTGTTTTTAACGCATTTGAACATTTTTCGTCGTCATGGATAAGTTAAAAATTCGAGTAATTATGGAGTATGAGTACCGTCGCGGCAGCAAAGCGGAGCGAACACTACAAACGAACGCACCACCCGTTATTGACCGCTTCCGTTCTGGAAATTTTGACCTGAAAAATGAACCCCGTGGTCGTTCGAAAACTTTGGTCGACAACGAATAATTAAAGGCGATTGTGGAAGCTGAAGAAACTCAATCTACGGCTGAATTAGCAGCAGCTTTCGACGTTAGCATCAAAATGATATTGATCCATTTGCGTCAAATTGGCATGGTAAAAAAGCTTGACAGACGGGTACCCCATGAACTCAATGATTGCCAGCGCGAAGTACGCGTCGAGACGTGCCTTGCACTGCTCAACAGGCATAGATCCGGGACGAGGTAGTCGGGAAATAGATCTTGTTCGACAATCGTAAGCGCTCAGCAAGTCGGTTGAAGCCTGGTTCAGCACCCAGACAATGCCCTAAACGAAAACCCCTAGAAAAGTGATGGTCACTGTTTGGTTGTCTAACGCGGATTGCATTATTATTGCAGATGCGTACTGTGAAGAACTGAACACAAAGATGGAGAAGCTCACACGTCTACAACCAGCTTTGGTCAATCGTTCGGCTCTATTGCTCCTGCACGACAACGCGCGACCTCATACTGCACAGCAGACTGTCTCCAAGCTACAAGACCTGGGGTTGGAAGTTCTCCGACATCCGCCGTGCTCACCAAACCTTGCGCCTACAGGATTCTACTTTTTCCAGAATTTGGAAACAAAACTATATCCGAGAGGCAGTACAAAATGCCTTTGAAGAATTTCTTGCCACCCGTCCAGCTGATTTCTTCAAGAAGGGCAACAATAAACTACTAATGCATTAGCAAAGATGCGTTGATTGCATAGGTGTTTACTTTGATTAATAGAAATAAAAAAAAATAAAAATAAACGCTTCATTTATTTCATGATAAAATGCAATTATCTTCATAATACTATCAAATTGGGTTAAATCAGCAAAAGTAGTTAGTTTGCTACTTTTAAAAATTATCTTGATTTAAAATGTTGTGAATTTATACATATTATGTACTTTTCAACAAATCTATGTTACAACATGGGGGTCTTATCTCAAATCTCTTTAATCCCCTTAAACGTTTTTATATGAAAACATACTCCGGACTTCTGAACGATACACTTATGCATTTCCTTTCTAAATTAACCATCAGTTTTCATTTAAACTCAATATAAAATGCAGAGGGAAAAAAGGTGTGTAGAGTGTCCTTGTTTGTACATACAAGTATAATATGATATGAGTATGGGTGCATATATGTAAGTTTGAATGGAGTTTGGTCCTGGTATATCCGTGTATACTCCGAGCGGCTTCTTTTATGTATTTGATTAAAAATCGAGGAAAATTTCATACTAAAATATAATACAAACAAATATTCAATTTTGTACTCTTACCTCTTGCGTGCTAGACAGAGACCTGCAGTCAGTTGCACAAACGTCCATTAAGGTTTAATGACGCCTTTAAGCACTAATGAATGTCAAATTTGTATGGGTAATGTCGTTTTAAACTAATGAATATTTTGATGGACGTTTGCACAACAGGCTGCTTATCTATTAAAAGGATAATTTGGCTGTGAAGAATATGCATGCACCACGTCTAAAATGTTGGACAACGAGATTAACTCTTTTAGTCTTCGTGGTTAACTGTTTTTTTTTTATATTGCTACCTTTTTTGCTTACCCGAAACGCGACAGTTACGAGAGGTCCTGGCAAATTTTGTTTACTACGACTATTACGAACGTCTCCTTACTTTATTTAATGAATCTCAGGTACCTCAAAACAAGCATAAAATTCGTTTATCTGAAAAAAGAAACGCGTGTAGCTCAGCCACTAAGTATAATATTTAACATTTTGAAGAACTCGCTCTACACTAGCGTCCCTAGTGACAAATTCAAACGCGTTAGCCCTCATTGTCCACAAATTCATATTATAAATTGATATATAATTATACAGAAATTTTTAAAGCGTTCGTCGAGTTGTAACGGCTAGTCGTGAGAGGCCGGTAGTAAGACACCGCGCATCGACGCGTGACCGTCCCGCGGGAGCGGAAGTCTTGCGCACTTCCGCCGCACGCAGAGCGCGCAGATCCGGTGCCACAGACGTTACACTCACTACACCCGACATGATTCGGAAGATATTTTATATTAAACTTAATTTATTAGGAACATTAGAATGCTAACTATAAAGTAGCGTCATTTTAACGCTTTTGTCGGCGACCTCGCTCACATTGGCTTTTCACCGGTGGAAGTTGGAATCTTATTAAGATATACTAAATAAACTAGCAAAAGAAACTTAAAATAATGCTAAACATTCATTTGAGGCAATTAAACGACGGTGTCTGAGCCACTAACTGGGATTATACCGTTACGTAAGAAATCAGCAATTCAGACGAAAATTTTCGTGTTTTAGTATATTGTTGGTCGAAGTGTTTAGTCAAAATGTAGGTACTAAAAATTTATTTTGTGTTTTCATTAAATTGATAAATAAAACAAAGTCATTGTAAGTCACGTTTGCTTGATTTTTCTGATAATAAAATATTGAATATCGATAATCTTTACTGATATTATACAAGTGAGTAAGCGAAGAGTACTTCGAAACCAAAGCGAGTTTCTCAAAGAACATTTATCAGCTTGAAAATAAAGGAAATAAGTTACTATTTAACTGGATAAACACGAGCGAGTTAGTAATACAGCCATACCAATCATAGGTTTTTAATTTTTGCACTAGTGATCCGTCTGTTTTCGCACTGGCACACGTGCAAAACCGGGTGGGATTAAGTAAATTTCCCGGTTGGGCTCATCTCTTTAACGGATTCAACATGCAACTTTACCTAAACAAAATCAGTCTGTGTCTCACTGAAGTATTCGTATGAATTGTATGTATGTACGCGGTGGATCATCATTTGAACCCTACATTTTTGAGCTTATCTTGAGCTGAAAAAGTTATAATATACTCGTGTATGTGATGACTTTTTCATTTCATTTTCATTTTACATGTAGAAATTAATTTATTCAGTTGACATTGGCAGAATTGTGCGTAATGCGCAGTTAAGCCATTAATAAAGGAAGAAGAAGATAAAGAGCAATGTACTGACAGACCACAGACATGCAAGACGATGACAGAAAGACACGGCATGAGAACCATAAAGCTACTAGAGATAGGTATGTTAAGGTAATACGTTCAGAATAAGACTTGGATCTGGAATAAGGTTATACAGTTATCTGTGGACTGTGACAATGGTTGCGGACAAGAAATTTAAAGATTTTAAGCTCTGAGAAATGTTGCCAGGGCAATTCAGACTTTTATTGTAAAGCTGTATTAAATCTAAAATTTAAGATCTTAAAAAAGGTATAATATATATTATTCTACTTAAAGACTTCCTAGGATTATTAAAGTCGCTATAAAAATCTAGTTAATAAACGTTTATCAATATTGGTCAGTTAAAGATACGCTAATCTTAAAAGTCTCACATTACCAAAATTTCCTAAAGTCAAGCAACATTGTTGGCTAACGATCTCAAAAAACCCTGTAAATAGAACTTTCAGTCACGTGATTGTTCTAATTACGCATAGTGAATGAGTCCGTTATATACCGATATTTGTTTGTGTTCATTTTGGTCAGAGTCCATGCGCAGACTAAACAATGAGATCAGTCATGACGTAACATGAGGAGCCTTGATACAGCAGCGACCACGACATTCCAAATGGATTTCAGGAATTCACGGGATCCACTAATAAACTGAACTTACCTCCTGTGTTGGAACTCAACCTAAAATAAAGTAATATTTGTGTCTCAGTTTCGGAGCCTATTCAAAGCAAACAAACAAAGAATGAAAACTTTCCTCTTTATAATATAAGTATAGATAGATATTTCGAATTAACAAAAATAAAAAAGACTTTTCTCGACTGCTTCCGTTCG